TGTTCGAGTATGATCAAGACAACCATGAAGAACAATGAATGGTTTTGCAAGATAAAAAGATGTATTATAACATTATAGAAAATATGACCATTTCAGGCTGGGCACAGTGGCTCACGTCTGTAATCCCAGCACTTTAGAAGGCTGAGGCAGATGGATCACTTAAGGTCAGGAGTTTGAGAGCAGCCTGACCAACATGGTGAAACCCTGTTTCCTTTTCTAAAAAATAACAAAAATTAGCTGGGCATTGTGGCATGCGCCTGTAATTTCAGCTGCTTGGGAGGCTGAGGCACAAGAATTGCTTGAACCCAGGAGGTGGAGGTTGCAGTGAGCTGAGATTGTGCCACTGCACTCTAGCCTTGGTGACACAGTGAGACTGTCTCAAATTTTAAAAAGTTTGAGAAAATAGGCCCATTTCAATGGTTCACACTTGTAATACCAGCACTATGGGAGACCGAGGCAGGAGGATTACTTGAGTTCAGGAATTCAAGAGCAGCCTGGGCATCATGGTGACACCCCATCTGTACAAAACACACAAAAATTAGCTGGGCATGGTGGCTCATGCCTGTAGTCTCAGCTACTTGGGAGGCTGAGGCAGGAGGATCCCTTGAGCCCAGGAGGTGGAGGTTGCAGTGAGCCAAGATTGCACCACTGCACTCCATCCAAGGTGACAGAGTGACAGAGTGAGACCTTGTCTGAAAAAATTAGAAAAAAAAAGACCATTATGTATTGACTAAGTAGAACAAACCTGAGTACCTGGAAATAGACCTCGACCACAGGAAACATCATGTGTGATAGAGGAAGTGGCAAATGATAATTTTTTCTTTTTATTTATTTTGGTTTTTATTTATTTGATTTTTTTTTTTTTTTGAGACAGTGTCTCTGTCACGCAGGAAGGAGTACAATGGTGTGATCAGAGCTTACCACAGTCTGAATTTCTCTGGGTTCAGGCAATCCTCCCATCTCAGCCTCCTGAGTAGCTGGGACTACAGGAATGCACCACTACTCTTGGCTAATTTTTTAATTTTTTGTAGCGACAAGGTCTCACTATGTTGCCCAGGCTGGTCTCGAACCTCTGGGCTCAAGCAGTCCTCCCACCTCGACCTCCCAAAGTGTAGGGATTACAGGCACGAGCCACTGTGCCTGGCCAACTTTTCAAAAAATGCGTGGGCAAAACTTAATGCAATCAAGTTTGCAATAAGTTTGCAATGAAATTTGACCCCCAGCTCATGCATAAAAGTCAAGTACAGGTAGCTTGAAGACCTAAATATGACAGAGAAAACAATAGGGCTGTTAGAAAATAATATAGCAGGAAATCACTATGAACTTGAGGTAGGAAAGGATTTCTGAGCAAAACATAAATAACGCTATTTATTTATTTTTATCATTTATTTATTTACTTATTTATTATTTTTGAGATGGAGTCTTGCTCTGTCACCCAGGCTGGAGTGCAGTGGCGCGATTTCGGCTCACTGCAACCTCCGCCTCCTGGGTTCAAGCGATTCTCCTGCCTCAGCCTCCCGAGTAGCTGGGATTACAAGTACGCGCCACTACACCCAGCTAATTTTTGAATTTGTACTAGAGATGGGGTTTCACCACGTTGGTCAGGATGGTCTTGATCTCCTGACCTCGTGATCTGCCCACCTCAGCCTCCCAAATTGCTAGGATTACAGATGTGAGCCACTATGCCCGGCCAATAACACTATTTATAAAAAGAAAGATTGAAAACTTGACCCCTGGCCCAGACCCTGAGCTCTACCTCTCTGAGGTCTTGCCTCCACAGGACCTGCACATCCAAAGGTCTTGTCTCCCCAGGACGCTGACATCCTACCCCAGCGCCCACAAGCCATGCTAAGGAGGCTAGTTCTCTCCTTGCTTCTCTAGCTTCCAAAGGGGAAAACTGAAGGGCACCTGCAGAGCACCTGAAGGCCAGAAGTAAAGGTGACCACTGAGACAAGGAATGAGGTAGCAGTGATGGGTCTCAGGTCCCTGAGAGGGGAAGGCAGCACCTTTTTGAGAGAAGGTAATGGGTGGTTCCTCTCCATTGGGCTCCAGGGTCCCTTCTGAGTGATGAGTAACAAGAGATTTCATCCTAACTCCAGGGTGTGGCCTCACCCTGGTCTCCACCTCTTGTTGCTCACTCTTGGAGAATTTGTGCCCCTGTCACTCTCACAGTGACTCCTTAGGTAAAAGGTATCTGTTATACCACATCCTCTTAAGATATATCTCCCACTAACTCCCATCTGGAATCCCCCAGTACTCAGAGAAGAGTTATTGTCCTGGGGGCAACTGAGGAGGTGACATTGATCTTGGGAATTAATATTTTTTATTTTCACCCTCTGCTTTGTGATCACTAAAGCACAGTTACCACGTGCCTGGCTACAGTGAGTTTTAGGATTCCAGGATCCCAGGTGTAGAAGAATGTACAGAACATTAGGTCACTTGTTTCCTTGGGTGAGAGACAGAGATACCTGCAGTGCCAGCCCCAAACCCCACCTGGTCCTCTCTGGCATTTGTCCCACTCCACACTAGAGGCATCTCTCAAGCTGGAGATTCCAGATCTTGCCCAGGGACAGCTTCGTTCCCCCAACCCCCATCCTCTGTGCTGTCTATTAAGACAACAAACAGTTGGGGTGAGGGAAGAGGAAATTGCAACCAGAAGCCACAAGATATAGACAGAAGGGCAGAAAAGGAAATTTCCCCACAAACTCTACCAGGAAAGCTGGGCCCCAAGGGCAAGGAAGAGGCCAGGCTGGCCCACCTCAGGGGCACAATGCCCATCCTAATAAAAGTAAAGTAACACAAAATACAGAATTGGGTGAAAGAAGGAAAAAAGGAATTGGGGTAAAGAAATAAGCATTTTCCCATTCAAGAAGGGCTACGGAATTTACCTTGAGACAGGAGTGTGTATATGGTTTATCACTACTTTGTTTTCAAATCAAACTGGTGATAGTATTTTTACCGAGGTGAAATTCAGACGACAAAATTACTAGTGGTAATTTTGGATGTATACACTTTTGAAGGATGAGGTGAAGAGGAAGTTAAAATGGTGCTGGATAAAAAAAGGAACATGAACATTAAGGCTCCCCCTTATGGAGGACAGAGAAAACATTTTTTAAATTTCTGGATTCAGTGGCAATGAGATGAGGATTTGGGGTATGACCTCTTGGACTCAACAACGTGGTGATAGGACACAAAATCCAGTGAAAGACTTTCTGTGGTGGGGATGAATGGTGAATTTCTGCAACACGATGTCTAGCATCCAATTTAACCTACTTCTTATCCTGAAGGGCCATTCCTTTCTGCTGCTCCCAAACCTTGAATGAAAAGTGCTACCCAAAATATATGTGTACAAAGTGCTGGGAAAGGCAGGAAAGAAGTCTTTGTTCTCATGTTTGGGGAAGGGATACCAGTTTGCATATGTCAATCACCCATCACCCTCAGGAACTCTCCCACATATTGTGGTTAAGTTGGCAGCTTTGGATTTTCTGTGATTATTAAGCATGAGAGATCCAGTTACTTTCTGGGGATCTTAAAATCTGAACAGGATGCAAGATTTGGGAACTACTGGTTCATACCATCAAAACTTAAATCTGCTCTTAAACTCTTGGACGATATCAGCCTGGTACAGTACAATTTTAACACATTCAAAGCAGGAGAGGAGGAGCTGAGAACAAAGTTACAACCTGAGACTGAGTTGATGGTATGATAAAGTGAGGCAGGAATTATGTGGAGGCAATTATGAAAGACTCCAATTAGGAGAGGTGTGGACTGAGAGAACACTCTGGTAGCTATGAAGTCTTTACTTTCGATTGGGCATCCATTGGATAGCTATATTTAGCTTGCATTTCTATTATGTTTGACTGAAAGCATTGACCAAAAAATGTTTTATTTTGGTAAAATAATGCATAACACAAATTTTAATATTTTAACCATTTTTAAGTGTATGGTTCAGTGGCATTGAATATATCCATCTTGTTGTACAACTATCACAACCATCCATCTCCAGAACTTTTTCATCTTTCCACACTGAATCTGTGTACTCATTAAACACTGACTCTCTATTTCCTCCTCACCCCAGCCCTTGGCAAGTGTCATTCTACTTTCTGTATCTATGCATTTGACTACTCTAGGTATCTCATATAAGTAGACTCATATGACATTTGTCCTTTTCTGTCTGGTTTATTTCACCTAGCATAATGTCTTCAAAGTCATCCATGTTAAAACGTTTGTTAGAACTGCATTCTGTTCTAAAGCTGAGTAAGATTTTATTTGATGCATGCTACGTTTCATTTATCCATGTATCCACTGATAAACATTTATGTTGCTTCCATGTTTTGGCTATTATCAAGAATGCTGCTGTGAACCTTGGTGTACAAATATCAGACCCCCTGCTTTCAATTCTTGGGGTTGTCTACTCAGAAGTGGAATTGTGGAATTGCTGGATTACATAGCAATTATATGCTTTGTTCTTTGAGGAATTTTCATAACATCTTCCATAGTGACTGCACCATTTTACATCCCACCAGCAATGCACAAGGGTTTCAATTTCTCCAACTCTTCACCAATATTTGTTATTATCTGGTTTTGTTTTGTTTTTTAATAGTGGTCATTCTAATGTGTATGAAGTGGTATCTCCTAATGGTTTTGATTTGCATTCCTGTAATTTTTACTGTTTATAGAATTGTATAAGTCTTTATGTGTTGGAAATTATCAATTTATTTTCAATATTTCAATATTGAGAAGTATTAAAATAATATGAACTTACTCAACTTACCTTTCAAAATTGGGAGATCTGGCACTCTCCTTATGACAGTGATTAACTGGAGATGAACAGGAACTGCCTCTTTTACTTTGCCACACTTTCTATTATGTACTGTAGTGGTCCAAGCTGTCTCTTCCAACAAACTTACCCAAACAATAAAGAGGGGGAAGACAGAGGATGGAACAGATAAATTGTTTTGGTCCATTTGGGCTGCTATAACAAAATACCTTAGGCTGGGTGATTTATAAACAACCGAAATTTATTTTTCATAGTTCCGGAGGCTGGGAAGTCCAAGATCAAGGTGCCAGTGAATCCAGTGTCTGGAGAGAATTCTCTGCTTCCCATATAGTATCTTTTTGTGGTATCCTCCCATGGCACAAGAGGAAAACACACTTCCTGCTATTTCTTTTATGAGGACACTAGTCCCATTCATGAGGATGGCACCTTTATGGGTCAATCACTTCCCAAAAGGCCCCAACCTCCCTTAATACCATCATCTTGAGGTTTAAGATTTCAACATACACATTTTGGGAGGACACACATTTCTACTGTAGCATAAATAGAGTATATCAAGAGTGAAAGCATATAGAAAACAAGTAAATATTGCACTCTCTTTGCTACGTGCACTTAGAGAACTTAAAAGAAAAATACCTGAGGTGTATAAAATTTAAATTCATGAAAAAGAATGAAGAAATTATAAAAGCAGCAAGACACAGGCAGATATTATCTTAGATGGAACCACAATAAGAAACTGATGACTGAATTGTCATGAGAAACTCACCGCCCTCCAAAGTGGAATGACGTCTCCAAAAGGTTAAAAGAAAAATGCAAAGCTAGAATTCTACATTTTGGAAAATTATCCTTCAAAATGAAAGAGAAGGAGTAGTGTTTTTATTACGAAGGAGTAAGCTCCTAGCAGAGTGAACCCACCACAACAAAACAAAACGAACAAAAAACAATCCTTACAAGTTACAAGCTTTGAATGGGGAAAAAAAGCTACTTGGAAAATGGGATAAAAGAAAATAGATTCTAGATGGGAGTCAAAATTTGGGGAAGGGGACCAACAAGGAATAAATAGCTCTATTCCAATGTTAGGCCAGAGCTACAATGCAGAAATGGGCTGCTAAAATTCTAATAGAACTTCCATCTTTCTGGACTGAGAAACAAGGGATGAAGCCAGGGCAATTAGGAACACTGAAACATGAGGTGAGAATTCTGGAAAGGAGAGAGCTAGGGGAAAGGAACTCCCGCTTCTGAGTATAAATGCTCCCATGTCTCTGACTGACCTAAGAACCATGTATGTGTAGGGCATACCACAAGCACTGCAGGTAAAGATGACAGAATTGCTATGAGACTTGAGCTGTCACCCATCACAGGCAAGAAATAGTCTGCAATTTGACTTGAACCAAATTATTTGCCTGCTTTAAAAAATACTCTTTAAAGTAATGTAACTTGTTGCAGAGTCTCCACAATGTAACCTTAAGAACATTTAGGATCCAATCCAAAGCTACTCAACATATGAAAACATGGGAACATAGGACCTACCTGAATGTAACAACACACAGAAAAGGGGAAAAGTGAAAGGCAATACCCAGAGGCCAATGCTGAGATGACCAAGTGATAGAAACAACAGACCAGGACTTTAAAGCAGCTACTATAACTATGCTCAAGGAGATAAAGGAAAACATAGTCATAACGAATAAAGACATAGGAAATCTAAGCGGTGATATAGAACATATTTGTTTTAAAAGAGCAAATGAAAATTTTGAAACTGAAAACTGCAATACAGTATCTCAAATTTTAAAGGAAATGGATAACTGAAGAAAGATCTAGTGAATGTGAAGATAGATCAATGAAAATTATTCAACCTGAAAAAAAAAAAGAGAAAAAATATTAAAACTAATACGAAACAGAGACTCAGGGACATGTGAGACAATACAAATACGTCTAACTATTTGTAATTGGAGTCCTGAAGGAAGAGGAAAGACAGAATGGAACAGACAAAAATATTTGAATAAAATGTCCAAAACATCCTAAATTTGGTAGAGACATGAAAGAAACCAAAGATTTAAAGCAATCCTTCATAAAAGTAATATCCAGCCCCGACAAAATGGATGAAGAAGTACTCAGTCTCATTAGTAAGTGGGTAAACTTAAGTTCAAAACACTAGTAAAATACTATTACACACTCTCCAAATTGGAAAACTTTTAGATGTCTGAAGATGTCAGGTGCTGGTAAAGAGTGGAACACTGAAAGACAAAAATTGTTCCCATCACCATCTAATAAATTGAAAATATTCATGTGCAATGAGGATGCTGCTTATTAGACCTGATATCTGATCCTCTTGGCAAGTAGGCTGTCTGTGGGAGAGGAAGGAACTGGTTCTGGGTTAAGGGTCATTCCTGTGCAACACTAGAGGTCCCTAGCTTCTCTTCCTTCTGGAGCCAGATTAATAGAATCTCAGAGCAAAGAAGATATTTATTGTCTGAGTCCTGGGAGAGGAGATTGGAGGCCCAGGATGTGAGAAGTGGCAGGACAAGTAGTGGATCGGGATGGTAAAGAAATCTGAGCCTGAGGGCATTTGGGGCAGTGAGTCAGTGAGGCTGGGAAATCCTCTTGGTAACATTCCCAGTTGACTCCCTGTGTCCTGAGGAAGACAGGAGTTTATCCTGGCCTCCAAAGCTCTTCCCATCTTGGAGAGTCTCAGCATCTGCAGTGAACACAGAGCTGTGGTTGTAGGGGAGGGTCTGGACTCCCTAGGAATGAAAGAGCTATGCCAGCTGGTGTAGAACAAGGGAAGGCTATAGATTAGAAGAAAGATGACTCCCAAAGAGATTTCTCACCCCAGCAAAGTTAGTACCCAAGGTCAGGAGCCCTCCTGCTGCCCCCTCAGAGACAGAGTAAAGATGTGGAAGTAGGGGAGGGACAGGGAGGAATTGGTGCCAAGATCAAATCTCCACCCACACTACTCAAAGCCCACCTAGGACCCAGGTGATCTGCAACCAGCTCCTAACATTTACCCTGCCCTGAGAGCAGGGGATGTGCTTCCAGCATGGGGCAGCTCCAGGATGTTCTAGTCTAAATGAACTTAACCAGATCCTTCCGGCCTTTTCCTGCTGCCCTGACCTAAGCTGAAAACCGAGGACTCTGCTGCTTAGTGACATGTCCATTCCCCAGCCAACAGGTTTTTCCTCTCCCAGGGCTTGGAAGTCCTGCGACGACAGTGACTCACAGGCCATGCTCAACAGGGTGGTTCTCTCTGCGGTTGCCTCAGCTCCAGGAAATGGCACCTGAACAGTTAGGCTGTTTCTGATCTCCTGGAGAACCAAAGTGAAGGTGAGCATCAAAGTACCCGGCATCTCAGGCCCCCAGGTGGAGAGGATAGGTGTCATTCAAGAGAAATTGAGGGTCATGTTCTCACCACAGTTTCTGGCTGGTTACTCTCCATAGCATGAATAGCAGAGGGTCCTCTTGAAGCTGGGCTTTGATGCCTCCTCCAGTCCCCATCTTCTTGCTGTCTCCTTGAGAAGACTTGTACCTGTCAGTCTCACAGCAAGGTTCTTACGTCCCAGGGTACATCTCATATGAGAACTCCAAATACCTCTCAGTTCCACCTACTTCAACAACCTGAGAGATTCTAGTTCTCAGGGAACTGTTGATTTGAGGGTCTCTAAGAAGTTAGAATCAACTTGGACTTTATTTTGTATATTTGGATCTAGAGTCATTTATAACCACTAGAAAAAAAAGATTGAATTAGCTGCTCACGTTTATTAGAGGTTTGTCCCAGACCATTAGCTTAATTGCAGTCAGTCTTGGAATTCCAGGTGTAGGAGATGGCATGGAGTACGAGGTCACACAGACCCTCCTATTCCATGAAAGAATCTACACCTCTTCTACAGGAGAGACAGAGACCACCAGCAGCTCCAACTCAATCTCCACTTGCATTCCTCACCCCCATTCTCTGCCCCCCATTCCACTCAATAGTAAGAACTTATTGTCAAATGATAGTAAGAAAATATTAAAAATAATCAGATATGTGAAATATACAACTGGTTACTTTCAACGAAGTGACAATAATGATGAAGATGATATAACAAAAGAAACTGTAAATCAGAAGACAATAGAGTGATATCTTTAACCTATCATCCAGATATCCATACCCAGACAAAGAATTCTTCAAAAATTAAATTAAAATAATATTTCATGTTAAAAAAAAAACCTAACACAGTTGAACTCCAGTAGACTTGCAGTATAAACAAAAGTAAGTTCTTCAGTCTAAAAAGAAATAATTTTTGATAGAAGTCCTGAATTTCATGAGCGAATCATAACTATGTAGGTAATTTTTAACAGTTGTCATTGTTGAAATCAAACTATAATGTTCTACGAAGTTGATAACATTTATAGGTGTAAAATATAGGATAATAACAAAAATGGTGGGAGGAATGGTATGTGTATCTGAAGATATAGTTGTTCATATTATTCAAGAGATAAAAATACTGATGCAAGAAAGATTGCAATATGTCAAGGATGCATATTTTAATAACTAGGCAACTATAAAAGAAAGTAATAAAAGGCAAATAAAAATTAAGAGGAGAAGACTGGGCACAGTGGTTCATGCCTGTAATCCCAGTACTTTGGGAGGCTGAGGTGAGTGGATCACGAGGTCAGGAGTTCGTTAGAGAACAGCCTGACCAACATGGTGAAACCCTGTCTCTACTAAAAAATACAAAAATTAGCCAGGTGTGGTGGCCCTCACCTGTAATCCCAGCTACTCAGGAGGCTGAGGCAGGAGAATCACTTGAACCTGGGTGGTGGAGGTTGCAGTGAGCCAAGATCACGCCACTGCACTCCAACCTCGCGACAGAGCGTGACTCCATCTCAAAAAAAAAAAAAAAAAAATGTGACTTTTATGGTATGCAAATTATATCTCAATAGAGCTGTTAAAAAAACCACAGTCGATATGGCCAGTTACAGTGGCTCATGCCTATAATCCCCAGCACTTTGGGATACTAAGGCGGAGGGTTCACTTGAGCCCAAGAATTCAAAGTTACAGTGAGCTATGCACGCCAACCTGAGCTACAGAGCAAAACCTTGTCTCAGAAACAAAGAAATCACAGTAAATAAATTGAAACAGAATACTAAAATATGTTTGAATAATCCCAAAACAGGGCAGGAAAATGGTAGAAATAAATAAATAAATAATAAAAAAGAAAAATAGTAGTAAAAAAATGGTACACCTAAATTCAAGCATATCAACAATAACATTAAATGCAAATACTCTAAAAAATTTAGAGATTGTCAAAATGAGTTAAAATTAAAAGTATGACCCATATATATGCTTTCTAAAATGTTCACCTCAAATATAATGAGGTGAGGTTAGGACTTAAAGGATGTGAAAATGCATACTATGCAAACACTAGTCAAAAGAAAACTGGAATGGCCATGTTAATAGCAGACAAAGTACACTTAAGAGCAAAGAAAATTACCAAGAACAAAAAGTGATGTTACATAATGTAAAACAGTTGATTCAGTCAACCATGGTGGCTCATGCCTGTAATCTCAGCACTTTGGGAGGCCGAGGCAGGTGGGTCACCTGAAGTGAGGAGTTCATGACCAGCCTGACTAACATGGTGAAACCTCGTCTCTACTAAGTACAAAAAAATTAGCCAGGCGTGGTGGTCCATGCCTGTAATCCGAGCTACTTGGGAGGCTGAGACAGGAGAATCGCTTGTACCTGGGAGGCGGAGTTTGCAGTGAGCCAAGATCGCGCCATTGCACTCCAGCCTGGGCAACAAAAGTGAAACTCCGTCTCAAAAAAAAATATTTTTTTTTAAGTTGATTCTTTAAGAAGACATAAGAATTCTTAATATGTATGCACCTAACGACAGAGTTTCGAAATACATGATGCAAAACTGATTAAACTGAAAGGAGAAACTGAAAAATCCAACATTATGATCAGAGACTCCAACATTCCTCTCTCAGTAATAGACCGAGCTAGTAGACAAAAAAGTGCAACCATCAAGCAACTATGTCTAATTGCCATTTAACATTCGTCCCATAACAGGGCAATACACATTCTTTCCAAGCACACAGGGGGCATTCACCAAGATAGACCAGTGTCACAAGACAAACTTAACCAATATAAAAGACTCTCACCGTGGGTGAAAGTGAAAATTAGTTCAGCCATTGTGGAAGACAGTGTGGCGATTCCTCAAAGACCTAAACACAGAAATACCATTCGACTCAGCATTCCCATTAGTGGGTATATACTCAAAGGAATATAAATCATTCTGTTACAAAGACACATGCACACATATGTTCACTGCAGCACTATTAACAATAGCAATGGCATGGAATCAACCTAAACACCTATCAATGGTAGATTGGATAGAGAAAATGTGGTACATATACACGGTGGAATACTATGCAGCCATAAAAAGGAATGAGATTATGTCCTTTGCAGGGACATGGGTGGAGCTGGAGACCATTATCCTCAGCAAACTAACACAGGAACAGAAAACCAAATACCATATGTTCTCACTTATAAGTGGGAGCTAAATGATGAGAATACATGGATACATAGAGGTGAACAATGCACACTGGGGCCTTTCAAAGGGTGGAAGGTGGGAGGAGGGAGAGGATCCGGAAAATGACTAATGGGTACTAGGCTTAATATCTGGGTGATGCAATAATCTGTACAAAAAACTCCTATGACACTTTACCTATGTAACAAACCTGCACTTGTACCCCCTGAACTTAAAAGTTAAAAAAAAATCATATCAAGCATGTGTATTTATTAAAATGGAACTAAAAAAGAAATTAGTAACAATGTGTTTAAAAATAAAAAACCAGTAAAATCTGTAATCACTTAGAAATTAAACAACACACTTCTAAACAATCCACGGATTAAAAAAAAATCTCAGGGGAAAGAAGGAAATGTTTTGAACTAATATAAAAATACAACATAACAAAATTTTTGTAGTGCAGCAAAAGTGGTGATTAAAGGGAAAATGCAGAACCAGTGGATACAGAAGGCTGACTGCACGATATTCAAAGCAAAAAAACCCACCAAAACCAAAAATGAGCTGTTGATGATACGTGTAACAACATGGATAAACCGGGAAAACCACACTGAAAAAATGAAAGCAGACCCTAAAGCATATACAATGTTTGATTCCAGCTATATGATGCACAGAACCTGACAATATAGATGGATATAGACAGAGAGAATCGCTTGAACCTGGAAGGCGGAGGTTGCAGTGAGCTGAGATTTTGCCATTGCACTCCAGCCTGAGCAACAAGACAGAAACTCTGTCTCAAAAAAAAAAAAAAAAAAAAAAGACATAATTTTTGTCTACAAACTCTCACAGAGGCATTAAAGAGTAAAATCGATTACGTTGTATTGTTTCATAAAAGTTTTACTTATTTTATAATAATTGTATTGTATAATAATCACAGTGAGGTAGAGTTTTAACTGGAAAACAAATGCTGCCTGTCTGTGCCTATATGGATAAGGAAGTTGAGGAGACCAGAAATTCAAGTGTTAAGAAGGTAACTTTTGGCAGCCAGGCACAGTGGCACCTGCCTGTAATCCCAGCACTTTGGAAGGCCAACGCAGTGGATTGCTTGAGGTCAGGAGTTCGAGACCAGCCTGGCCAACATGGTAAAACCCCATCTCCACTAACATACAAAAAAAAAAAAAATTGGTCGGGCACGGTGGCTCACGCCTGTAATCCCAGCACTTTGGGAGGCCAAAGCGGGTGGATCACAAGGTCAGGAGATCGAGACCATCCTGGCTAATACGGTGAAACCCCGTCTCTACTAAAAATACAAAAAATTAGCCAAGTGTGGTGGCGGGCGCCTGTAGTCCCAGCTACTGGGGAGGCTGAGGCAGGAGAATGGCGTGAACCCAGGAGGCAGAACTTGCAGTGAGCCGAGATCGCACCACTGCACTCCAGCCTGGGCGACAGAGCAAGACTCCATCTCAAAAAAAAAAAAAAACTGGGTGTGGTGGCAGGCACCTGTAATCCCAGCTACTAGGGAGGCTGAGGCAGGAGAATTGCTTGAACCCCAGATGTGGAGGTTGCAGTGAACGGAGGTTGTGTCATTGCACACAGCCTGGGCAACAGAGCGAGACTCTGTCTAAAAAAATAAAAAAATAAAAAAATAAAAAAGGTTAGTTTTGAGTATTGGGGGTATAAGACCGAAAGTACGTTCCCTTCACAGGGCTGGAGATGGAGGATGGAGAGGGAAGAGAAAGGGGGTTGGGGAGGGGATGGGGTGCAGATAGGGATGCAGGTGTGGTAGGGCAAGACTCAGAAGCAGAGGGGGATAAATAGATGGGGTATGGGGCAGAAAGGAAAAGAGGGGTAGTCAGCGGGATATCAGCCTCCAGAAAAGCTGACAGCCATGTCCTGCATCTGTCCCGCAGGGCTGCGTGTCCACACCTCGGTTCTGTCTTGAGCAGGAGGCGCTCAGCCTGGCCTCTCATCCCTACTCCCCTGGGGGCCTCCACACCTGCAGAACCAACACGGGCCTCAGATCAGCACCAGCCACTTCAGTTCTGATTCCAGGTGGGGCAGCACAGCTCAGCCCCACCTGGAACTCAGGAGCTTCCTGGAGACAGGCAGGCCTGCTCACCTGGTATAGTAGATCCAGGTGAGGCCGTAGGTGAGGAGGAAGCCAGCCCCCATGAGAGCCCCCCTGATCAGGGTGAGGACGAGGGGCCAGGAGCCCTCCTGTTTCTCGGTTACACATATGCAGGAAGAGGAGCTTCCTGGGGGAAAGGAGAAGAAGGTAAGGTGCTGTTCCCAGGCCTCAGACCCTCCCACCAACCTGAATACCTCACCAGGCTGTCCACCCTCAGCACCTGTCCTGCAACTCACTCTGCACAGAAAGGATGAAGGACAGGTGCTGGGAGCCCAGCGGGTGCTGAACCCGGCAGGTGAATTCCCCTCCCTCTCTAGCCCCTATGTTGGGCAGCTCCAGGATCCCAGACACTGAGGTCTGGGAGGGATTCAGGGCTTTTCCGTCCCGGAACCAGCTCAGTGAGGCAGGGGGGTTGCTGTCAACTGTGCAGGTCAGGAACAGGGACTGGCCCTCCACGATGGGCACCGACATGCCATTGCTCAGGATGCGCAGGGCTGGGAAAGAGATGTACAGCCAGGTGAGGGGAGCTGGGAGGCCCAAGTCTCCCTCACTCCTCCCACTGAGCTGTAAGAAGAAAGTTAAGACTGTGGTGAGTGCTGAGAATGGACTAGTCATGCATGAAGGGGTGAGGACTTGGTGATCAGGTCAGGCTATCAGAAAGAAGGTCGCTGAGCTGAGAAAAGATGGATGAGGAGGAGTTCTCACGTTAAGGAGAAGTAGATGGGCAGCTCAGGGGCAGATGTGCCAAGAACTGAGAGAAGAAGACGAGGAAAGAGGCTCCTATATCTGCAACCTGGCAGGGAGGACCCAGAGCTCCCAAGACACAATAATGGAGGTAGAGGAAGCAGGCTTAGATCTTTTGGAGCCTTGGGTGCCAGGTTGAGGGCCTTGGGCTTTATCCTGGAAAGCAGTAGGCGGCTATGACCAAGGGAAACAGAGTAAGCACTGGATCTAGAAAGATCCTGCTGGAGCCAAGTAGGTCCGGGACTGGAGGGAAGTGGGATGGGAGGCAGGGAGGTTGGGAGGAGGCTGGGACAATGGGCCAGGGTTGAGCACGAGACTTGAGCTGGGCCTGGAACCAAGGGGATGAAGAGGGAAGTGATAATTGGTGAAGTAAACGTGTCAAGACTTGTGGACTCA